ACACGTATCTCTTCACTGCATGCCAGGAATTTGGAGGGTACTGCCGTCCTTTTTTTCACATCTGATTCATGTTTATGAACTCCTACAGGAGAGTGGAGTGACAGTGAGCTTTCCTCCCTGTTTCTCACATTGTGAGGATCAGTGGGACCCATGGCCAAGCACAGGAATGACTGTAGTGGTGACTGAGACCAATAAACCTGTATTACAGCATAGATTCACGGGCCAAACCTGAGTTTCAGTGGAGCTCCTAGATGCTAACAGGAGCTGCAAAGGCTCAAAAAGTGTTGGTGGGTATGTGGGTGGAGGCTCCAGCCTTGACAATTTGCTCATTACTCGGTTTCATCAACTGTGCAAGATTTGGGCCCATCCCCACTTGGCTCTCCAGAACATGCAGTATATTTAAGCACTCCCTTGGGACAGGAATTCATACAAAAGGCAAAGAAATAGCAGGCAGGGTTTTCCCGATCTTTAGCTACATTCTGTTAGAGGAGAGGGTAGGATGGGGGCTGTGTGACAAATAGGCTCCACTGCTGCACTGGCATATGTCTTGTTTAGGTGTACACAATAAACCTCAACGTTACAACTCCTTGACCTGGAAAACTCACGAAGATTAGAACACCAGGTGGGTGCTCATTGAGAATAGCACACCAGGTAGGTGCTGATAAAGAGCAGAACACCAGGTGGGTGATGACAACCATGACCACAAATAGAAGGGGCACAGACCAGGGACACTCGATCTGCTGAAATCCTTTGTCACAACCCAAGGAGGAGTTCTGTCACTGGTTGTAAATGAGTCTGGGGTCCAGGTGGTCGTCTTGCCTCCTCCAATATGATTGGGGTATGGCTTTCCCCATGTGCAAGACCAGTGGTTTGGAGGGGCTGTAGATGGTCTCACTCTCTCCCTGCCCAAACAACTGCAAGTTAACCATGTATGCAGACATACTTCAGGAGATTTCTTTCTCCCCCACTAAGCTCCCACTGTTACTCAACAGATCATCATAGTTTTAAAAGATGAGATGCACTGGAGAGATGTTACCTCAACTTCAGTAGGCCTCTCCTCTGACTGCTCCTTGTTTTCTCATCGTGGTGATCTCATTTCACTCTTCTAGGCAGCATTTGGGACATTAGCCTTCTTGCTTCTCAGTCTCTTACAGCACCCCACAACAATTAATACAGTCAGAGTTAACAGGGGTCTTGATTGCTCCTTCTCATGTACCTGTGTACGTAGATACAGAGAATTCAAGGATGAGAAGGATGGGATTTTCCACTGAGTATAAAATTTCAGTGGTGCTTTGAGAATGAGAAGTACTTGTCCTATAGTCAGCAGATCAGCTAAGACTGGTTTTCCCCGTCTTCATGCTTAATTAACTAATTTGAATCCATAAGTCAAACACAGAGAGTTTTTAGTCATTGCTCCTAAAGGTGCACTCCTTTCATCCCAAAGATTTGCATTTACTTAAGCTAAACGTGTGGAATGTGAGAAAACTGAACCTATCCTGGTACAAAGAAGAGCTGAATGGAACGCACAAACTACAAATGGCTTCAATCACAGGAACTAGGACAGATAGGCAGGGTCCCATCCAACCCAGCCTTGAGCACCTCCAGGGATGGGATACCACAACCTCTCTGGGCAGCCTGTACCAGCACCTCACCACCCTCTGAGTAAAGAATTTCCTCCTAACATACAACCTTAACCTCTCCTCTTAGTTTAAAACTGTTCCCTGTTGTCTCCTCAGACCATATAATCAGTCGCTCTTCATCTTGTTTATAGTTTCCCTCTAAATACAGCCTCTTGATGCCAGACAGGGCGTTGTTCTGCATTTTTCCCCCGTGCCCTTGCCCCATTTGACTCCATTCTCAGACTCATCTCATCCTTCGGGGTGCACCCCAGTACTGAGAAGCAATCCAGTGCCACCAGTGCTGGAACACCACTAGCAGAAAGCTTCTTTCCACTTTATATTACTTTTGCCATCACCACAAGGAAGCTTAACTTATTTTAAATTCTGCACAGAAAAAAAATGACAATGGTAAAGCTGTGCCTCTCCCCTGTCCCACAGGACAGTTTCTGCAGGAGCACAACATGACCAAAGTTTCAGTAAAAATAAAACAGAAACAAAGAAGCTGTGCGTTTCCATTCCCTTTTTTCTTCATAAAGGTTGTGACTGGGACTGGGATCCAGGCAGAAGGAGGAGAACAGATCTGTTGAATGAATAGCTGTGTGGATGGTATTGAGCTCAGGGCTTTGAGTTCTATGATCTAGAACATCCAACCTTCTACACTGAGTGAAGAGGAATTGTCATGGGCCATAGATCACTCCAAAAGTAATGCCTCCTATTTATTCCCTTGGAAACTACAACAATGAGCACAGTAACTCTGCTTGACAGAGCAAATTCTCAGCTACAAAACAATATTTTTCATCAGTCATCACGTTCAGCTATGCATTTCCACCAGCAATGAACAAAAGGCTGCATGCCATGGTTGCCAAAACCTGCACCAGCAGAACTGGCAAAATGCACCACTGTGCTCACATCCACTGCTGGGTCTCCAGTAACATTCAGCAAGCGAGGGACATTTCTCTCTGTTAACAGAGGTCTGATAAAATTCTAGCAAAAAGACATGACCAAATATTTGAGTTGAATATCCAATTGCACGTTCCACCTGAAAACTTGCAGGTCATGTATTTATATCAACTGAAAATGCAGTTGCAAATGTAAATCTTTTTTTTTTTTCAATTTTGAAGACTAATCTCAAATTCCTGTATCAAAACAGAAAGCACGGATGCATATTTTTCCACGCCAGACTGTGTTCAACCAATGCATCAAAATGCATTTGCCATTAACTTGGTTTGGTGCTGCACTGTGCTCTCCCCACGCTGTGGTTTCAGCTCAGACAGTGCCTGTCATCTGTGCACAGATGAGTGGTTGAGACACTGGCCGTGGGTTGGAAGTGCCTGCCTGGTGATGTACACAGAATGCAGAGTAAGCAGGAGGAGGTGGAAATCCTGCTGCAATTAGGAAATGATGACCTAATTGCTAACGCAGAAGCGTGTCGGGATGACTCACGCAACTGGAATACAATGATTGAGGGCTCCAAGCCTTTCAGAAGGGATAGGCCAGGTAGGGGGGTGGGGAATTGCCCTCCGTGTTAAAAAGTGGATAGACTGAGAATAGCTAGGGATGTGAAAAACAACAAGAAGGGATTCTACAGGCACACTGGTCAGCAGAGACAGGCAAAGGAGAGTGTACCCCTCTGACAGGTGAGAAGGGAGAAGTGACTAAAGCAGACACGGAGAAGGCTGAAGTAGACAGTGAGCTCGTTGCCTCGGTCTTCACCAGGTTCCTACACCTCTCATGTACCTGAAATACTGGGCAGGGGTCATAGGAGTGAAACACCCCCCACTGTAAGCACACAGCAAGTTGGAGACTGCCTCATGAGGCTGGATGATATGCATCCCAGGGTTCTGCAGGAGCGGGGTGATGTGGGGGCTGAGCCACTCTCCATCGTATTTGAAAAGCTGTGGCTGTCAGATGAAGTCTCTGGTGACTGGGAGAAGGGAAACATCACTCTCAGTTTTAAGGAAGGGAGAAAGGAAGACGTGGGGAACTACAGGACGATAAGCTGCACCCCTGAGCCTGGGATATCATGGAACAGATCCTCCTGGAAAGTGGATGTGTAAAAGCACATGAATGTGTTAAAGCACATGAAGAGATATTAAAGTGAGTGATCCGAGCCAGTCAGGGAAGGCCGTGCCTGACCAATCCAATGGCCTTCTATGATGGAGTGACAGCATCAGTGGACAAAGGGAAAGCAACTGATGTCATCTACCTGAACTTGTGCAAGGCCTCCGATGTGGTTCTGCAGCACATCCTCACCTCTGAATTGGAGAGGGACGGATAAGGAATTGGTTGGATGGTTGCAGCCAGAGGGCTGTGGTCAATGGCTCTGTGTCCAGGTGGAGGTCAGCAATAAGTGGTGTTCCCCAGGGGTCCATCTCGGGTCTGGCACTCCTGAGCATGTTTACCAGTGACAGAGATGATGAGATTGAGTACATCCACAGCAGTTTGCTGATGGCAACAAGCTGAGTGGTGCAGGTGACACAATAAAAGGAAGGGTTGCCATCCAAAGGGACCTGGACAGGCTCAGAAAGTGGATCCATGTGAACCTCAGAGAGTTGCACTTGGGTTGGGGCAATCCCAGATATGTGTACAGAGAAAAACTCCTTGTGACCATCCCACAGGTAAAGAGGAATACATGAGAGGACCTCATGTGGCATTTAATGATTCAGTTTAGGCAATCAAATTCAGCCCACTGATGTAGAAGGAATCAGGTAAAGGTGAGACAGGAAGGAGAGCAGCATTTGCTTCTGGGAGAAGAAATGTGACATTCCATGAGTTATTGCCAGACCTGGAGAGCAACCCCTGGAATCTGAACGTGGGAATGCCTCTGTGCTTCCATCATCACCCAGGACACCATCAGGACCCTGCTGGGACCCTCCCCCAAATAATGGGGAACTCCCTAGGACCCCCTCATTGAAAGGGAATCCCCCATTGGTGGGGAATCCCCCCACTGAAAGGAAATCCCCCATTGAGGGGGAACCCCCCCACACATCTCAGGGATATAGGGTGGGGTCAGAGAGGGGCTGAGCTCCCCCCACTGTTACTTATTGTATTTATTTGTTAACCTCATCAGTAAAAGCCACAGTTTTCACCGCATTTTGTTGCCTGTTCCTTTGGGGGGGGGGGAGGGGGGAGAGGGAAACCCAAACCCTTTGGTTCCCCCTATCGACGAGGAGGGGCAGAGTGTTGGCCACGCCCCCTCCTCCTCATCAGCATACAGGCTCCATCCACATCTTTCCAAAACAACCCCCACTCCTGGGACAGCTCTTTGGTTCCCCGCCCTCTGACACCCCCCCCTCCAGCACCCATTGGGTTTCCACCACCACCCAACCCCAGGGGGCCCCAATCAGGTGTTGCTCCACCCCCCCCCCTCCCGCACCGACAGGGCTGTCCTGGGTGAGAGGGGAGTGTTGCGTGCCCCCCCCCCCCCAGAACTGCTGAAAGCCACCAGGATCCCATTGAACACCATTAGGATCCTACTGGACACCATCTGGAGCAACACCCCAGGATCCAGACAGACACCCCCGCATACCACCACTGGAACACCCCTCCCCCCAAGAAACCATGGAGACTGTGACCCCCCAGGAGCCCTCAGGTACCACCTGTCCCCCCCCGACCCGCTGGGGCATCTGTTCAGCTGGCAAAATCAGCCACGACTTCCTGGTGGCCCTGCGCACACTGCCCGCCGAGGAGCACCTGGTGGGTAGAGGGGGGGAACCTGGGTTTGGGAAGGGGGGGGGGTCACCCCATTGGACCCCCTCCATCATCCCCTGTCCCTTCTTCCCTCCCCACCCCCCAGGCTGTGGCTGTAGCAGCACGAGAGTTGTCCCGTGCCCAGCAGTATGCACAGCTGCACGGGGTGGCACGTGCCTATGGGAGCTACGAGGAGCTGGCGAGAGACCCCGAAGTGGGTGAGTGGGGTTGGGGGGGCGGGGGGGGAAACCCTATGGGGACAGAGGGGTCACCGCCTCACGGGACTGTGGGATGCTCCATAAGGAGGCTGGGACGCCCATGGAATCATTGGGATTTGTGGGGACATCGTGCTGTCCCCTCGTGTCCCCCACTGTCACCAGATGTGGTGTGTGTGGGGTGAGGAGGGTCCTCCTGTCCCCACTGGAGTTCCTAGACCCCAGTGGGGTCTCTCTGTCCCCAGTGGTTCTCACTGACCTTACTGGTGTCTCTCTGTTCCCAGTAGTAGGGTTTCACTGTCCCCAGTGGGGTGACATTGTCCCCAGTAGGATCTTACTGTCCCCACTGGTGTCCCTTTGCCCCCACTGGTGCCTCACTGCCCCACTGAGATCATCCTCTCCCCCAAGGTGTCCCCTTGCCCCCAGCGGGGTCCCACTGTCCCCAGTAGGGTCTCCCTCTCCTCACTGGTGTCCCTTCACCCTCTACTGATGTCTCATTGTCCCCAGTAGGGTCTTACTGTCCCCAATAGGGTCTTATTGTCCCCACTGGGGTCTCCCTCTCCTTACTGGTGTTCCCTTGCCCATACTGGTGTCTCACTGTCCCCAATAGGGTCTCACTGTCCCCAGTGGGGTTTCCCTCTCCTCACTGCTGTCCCCTTGCCCATACCACTGTCTCCCTGCCCCAATAGGGTCTCGTTGATCCCACTGGGGTCACATTGTCCTCTCTGGTGTCTCCCTGCCCCAGTAGGGTCTCACTGTCCTCACTGGGGTCTCCCTCTCCTCACTGGTGTCCCCTTGCCCATACTGGTGTCTCACTGTCCCCAGTGGGGTCTCATTGTCCCCACTGGGGTCTCACTGTCTCCAGTAGGGTCTCCCTCTCCTCACTGGTGTCCCTTCACCCTCTACTGATGTCTCATTGTCCCCAGTAGGGTCTTACTGTCCCCAGTAGGGTCTTATTGTCCCCACTGGGGTCTCCCTCTCCTTACTGGTGTTCCCTTGCCCATACTGGTGTCTCACTGTCCCCAGTTGGGTCTCATTGATCCCTCTGGGGTCTCACTGTCCTCACTGGTGTCTCCCTGCCCCAATAGGGTCTCACTGTCCTCATTGGGGTCTTCCTCTCCTCACTGGTGTCCCCTTGCCCCCAGTGGGGTTTCACTGTCCCCAGCAGGGTCTCATTGTCCCCATTGGGGTCTCATTATCCCCACTGGGGTCTCCCTCTCCTCACTGGTGTCCCTTCACCCTCTACTGATGTCTCACTGTCCCCAGTAGAGTCTAATTGTCCCCAGTAGGGTCTCATTGTCCCCGTTGGGGTCTCCCTCTCCTCACTGGTGTCCCTTCACCCTCTACTGATGTCTCACAGTTCCCAGCAGGGTCTCATTGTCCCCACTGGGGTCTCTATCCCCAGTAGCTCCCATTGTCCTCACCGGTGTCCCTTCGCCCCCTACTGGTATCTCCCTGTCTCCACTGGGATCTCCCTGTCTTCACTGGTGTCCCTTTGCCCCCACTGGTGTCTCTCTGTCCCCAGTAGGGTCTCTCTGTCCCCATTGGTATCCCACTGCCCCCACTGTTGTGTCCCTGTCCCCAGTAGGGTCTCATTGTCCCCAGTGGTAACTCACTGTCATCACGGGCATCCCCTCGGCCCCACATTGTCCCCATTGGTGTCTCTTTGTCCCCATTGGGATCTCATTATCCCCATTGGGATCTTACTGCCCCCAGCACTGTCCCCTGTCCAAATGAGGTCTCTTTCCCCACTGCTATCTCATTGCCCCCAACGGGTCCCCTGTCCCCAGTGAGTTCTCCTCATCCCCAGTGGGGTCTCATTCTCCCTAACGGGTTTCTCCTTGTCCCCACTGCTGTCTCCCCACCCCCCTGCCCCAGACGTGGTGTACGTGGGCACGGTGAACCCGCAGCACCTGCCAGACACCCTCCTCTTCCTGCGGGCACGCAAGGCTGTGCTGGTGGAGAAGCCAATGGGCATCAGTGCCCGCGAGGCCAAGGAGATGGCAGCAGCTGCACGGGAGGCGGGCGTCTTCCTGATGGAGGTGAGCCCTGTGCTGCCAACAACCCTATTAGTTGTGTTCCCAGTAACCCCAGTGCCCCATAACGCCATTCCCAGTACCCCCCAGTCCCTCCCAGCACCCGTAATCCCATTCCCAGCCCCTCCCAGTGCCCACACCTCTCACCCCAGGGTTTCTGAATACATTTCCAATCTCTCTTAATCCCTTATAGTGTCATTTCCAGTACTTCCAGTCCCTCCCAGTGCCCATCATCCCATTCCCAGTCTCTCCCAGTCCCTTATTATGCCATTTCCTGTGCTCCCAGTCCCTCCCAGTGCCCATACTTCTCCCCAGGGCTTCTGGACTCATTCCTAGTTCTTCCCAGTGCCCATAGTCCCATTTCCAGTGCTTCATAATCCCACTCCCTCCCAGTGCTCCTAGACCCCATAATCCCCCTCCTAGTCCCTTCCAGTTCTCCCAGTCCCCCTTAGTCCTCCCAGTCCTCCCTAACACCATTCCCACTTCTCCCAGTTCCCCATAACCCTACCCAGTCTCTCATAATCCCATTTCCAGTATTCCCAGTTCCTCCCAAAGATCCCAGACCTCACTAACTGCTCATAACCCCACTCCCAGTCCCCCACAGTCCCATTCCCAGTGCTCCCAGGGACTGCGCTCCCAGTCCCTTCCAGTCTCATATAACTCCACTCCCAGTGCTCCCTGTGCCCCATAACCCCATTCTTAATGCTCCCAATCCCTCCCAATGATCCCACTCCCTCCTAACTCATAACTCCAATCCCCCCAAAAACATTCCCAGTGCTCCCAGTCCCATATTACTCCACTCCCAGTGCTCCCAGTGCCCCATAACCCCATTCTTAGCACTCCCAGTCCCTCTCAGTTGCTCCCAGTCCCCCATAACCCCATTCCCAGTGCTTCCAGTCCCTCCCAGCACTCCCAGTCCCTCCTAGAACCCCAATTCTTCCTTCCCAGGGCTTCTGGACCCGCTTCTTCCCAGCCTGGAAGCGGCTGAAGGCACTGGTGGATGAGGGGGCTTTGGGGGAGTGCCGGGTGCTGCAGGGGGCTCTGGCTTTTCCCCTGAGGTCCGTGGAGCGGGTGCGGGAACCCAGCCTGGCTGGGGGGGCCCTCCTGGACCTGGGGGGCTACGCGCTGCAGATGGCCAGTGCCTTGTTGGGGAGGGGGTGCCCACCCCTACGGCTACGGGCAGAGGGCTGCCTGCACCCCTCGGGTAAGGGAAGGGTCCTGTGGGGTCGGGGGGGCTCTCATTGGGGTGAACGGGGTCCTCATGGGGTTGTTGGGGAGGCCTGGAGGGGTCTGGGGGGTTTCTATGGGTGGGTTTGTTTTTTTTTGGGGGGTGGGCAGGGAGACCTATGGGCTGCAATAAGGGTGTATGGGGACATTATGGGATCTGGGTGGTCTTATAGGGGTATATGGGATCCCCATAGTGGTTGGGGGGGGCCACAACTACATAGAGGTGTATGGATTCCCTATGGAGCTCGGGGGGGGGGGAGGAGGAGGTCCTATGGGGGTGTGAGAGGGGGAATTCGTGTTCCTACGGGGATCCAGGGCTCCCATAAGGTTTTGGGGTTCTAAAGGGGTCTACCTGCCCCCATGTGGGGCTGTGGGTGTCCCAGGGTTTCCTTGAAGGGGGGGGGGATCTCAGATAGGTTGACCTAAAACCTCCATGCGGGGAATTTGGATGGGGTCACTTTGAGGGCCCCGTTGTCACAAATGGTGTCATTCTGGGGGGATGCGGGGTCCAACAGGGGTGGATGAGACGGTGACAGTGACGCTGCAGTACGAAGGGGGAAAGCAGGCAGCAATGACCGTGTCCATGGATGCAAAGATGCCAGGGGGGGCCGTGCTGGGGGGAACCCGTGGCTGGGTGGAGGTATGGGGGAGTAATGGGGGGGTAATGGAGGTGTGGAGAGGGGTGGGGGGGGTTGGAGTCTGACGGTATGAGGTGGGGAGGATATTGGGGTCACTTTTAAGGGTGGGATATTGGGATACTCTTTCAATAGGGGAGGAGGGATTTGGGGGTCAGCATCTAAAGAGAGGATATTGGGGTCCGATTTTAAGGTGGAAGAGAAATTGGGGTGCACTGTCATGAGAGGGAGGGTTTGGGGGTCTCCTTTTAAGAGAGGGATACTGGGGCCCGTTTTCACGAGGTGGGCATTTGGGATCCTAAGGAATGGGATTGTGTGGGGATTTGGGGGGGGGTGATCATAAAAATATGGGGGGCTTCGTGGTGGGAGCTCTTTAGTGGAGAGGAATAAAGGGTGGAATGGGGAACCTGGTGCTGGGGGAGGGGAGGGGCAGTCACAGTGCTGTTTCCCTTTCCTGCAGATCCCCAGCCACCTGAACTGCCCCACTGAGCTGATCTGGGAGGGCAAGAGAGAGGTTTTCCCCTTGCCCCCCCCCGCGGAACCCCTGAACTTCCCCAACAGCACAGGGCTGCGTTATGAGGCCCAGCACGTGCGGGAGTGCTTGCTGAAAGGTGAGTGGTGATGGGGGATGGGGGGGTTAACAGCAGGGGGTCCTAAATAATGGGGGGGGCGGGGGGTCTTAAATGATGGGAGGTCCCTAAAATAATGGCAGGGGTCCCAAAATAACGTGGTGTCCCTACTAATAACACGGGAGGTCCAAAGGGGGTGGGAGGTATCGCTAAAAGATGGAGGGGTCTCTAAATGATGGGGGAGGGGGGTCACAAATAATGGGAAAGTCCCAAAACAACAAGGTGGGGAGGCTCATAACGATGAGGGAGTGTCCTGCTGACCTCCTGTCCCTTCAGGGCTGACTGAGAGCCCCGTGATGCCGCTGGCTGAGAGCGAGCTGATCGCCGAGATGATGGATGAGGCACGGCGCCAGGTGGGGGCTGTAGGGCCGGGGGGCACTGTCCCATAACAGACCCCCATCCCCCTGCCTCAGCCCCCTGCAAAATGTGAGCAGAATAAAGCAATCAACCTGCCTCGATGCATGCTATTTTTGAGGGTGGTTTAAGGGTTCCTTTTCTTTTTGGCTATGGAACAACCTATAGAGTGGTTTATGGGGGTGTTCTCCCTCCCACGGTGTTTTATGGGGGTGCCATGTGACACCCCCAATACAAACCAGCCCCCTGACAGCTCAAAGCCATTTATTCACAACAGCAGCCACGACCACAGTCGTTGTATTGGAGCCACCAGGGCTTTGCTGTTGCTCATCTCCAGGCTGGAGGGGAACAGTGAGCCCTGATACTCACCTTACTCCATTGAAAGTGGGCAATGGAGAGAGGCTGTGTCTGCATTTCTGGGCACTCAGAACTACAGCAGAGGTCGTGTTTTCTTGTTCCTTGGGGTCAGCGTCCTCTCTCTGCAAAGTCCTCTGTCACCTTTCCCCCTGCTTTGCCCTTCCTCAGAGCACTTCACCCCATTTTCACCCAGATTGGGCACAAACGACGTTGGGACGCCACCAAGAATGCACAGACATCATCCAAAGTCTCCAGGGATGGAGCTGAGAAAGCAAAACTCCAATGGAATTGCGTCTGCCCTGATACAGCAAAGCCAACAAGAAGTTCCTCTGGGAGCTCATTTGGGGAAAATAAAAGTAGGTTAGGGAATATTGGATCAAATCCAGCGTGGAGAAGTCTATGGGATCATAGGATCCCATAGGAAACTCGAAGAAGGCAGTGCAATCATAAATCACAGAATGGCCAGGGTTGGGAGGGACCTCAAGGATGATGAATCTCCAACTCCCCTGCCACATGCAGGCCCACCAACCTCCACATTTAATACCAGCCCAGGCTGCCCAGGGCCCCATCCAATCTGCCCTTGAACACCTGCAGAGATGGACAGGGCATCCACAGCCTCTCTGGGCAGCCTGTTCCAGCACCTCACCACTCTCTCTGTAAAGAATTTCGCCCCGACATCCAACCTGAATCTTCCCTCCCTCAACTTAAAACCATTTCCCCTTGCCCTGCTGTTATCTACCCTTTCAGAGACTTGATTCCCCTCCTGTTTGTAGGCACCTTTTAGGTACTGAAAGGCTGCGATGAGGTCACCCCACAGCCTTCTTTTCTCCAGGCTGAACAAGATGCCATGGGATGCGCCCCATGGGAACTGTGAGGCTGCATTCAGTCACTCTCGACTGTGGGAGGGAAAACAGACACCTCCAGAGAGCTCAGGGGTCCCCAAAGCACACTGTGGGGGGCTCTTGGGGGCCTGTGGGGCTCCAGTGTCAAACAGGGCGTGCTGGGCAGCCTCAGGAGCCCTCAAGAGCACACCAGACAGCTTTATGTATGCTCTGCAGAGCGTGCTGGATTTGATTAGGGTGCATTGAGACGGCCTGGAGCACACAGAGGCCTCCTTAGGGCGCCCAACGCGGTGCCAACGCCTTGGGAGGGCCTTCGAAGGCCTTTATGGCAGAACAGAAGGCCTCCAGGGCACTGCAGAACGCAATTATGGGCGTACCTCAGCCTCCAAGGCCTTTGTGGCAGAACGGAAAGCCTTCAGGGCACGGCAGAGCTCAATTAAGGATCTACAGGCGTACCTCACGGCTCCACCGGAGCGCTGAGACCCGCAGCTCGCAGCCAGCTTCCCGCCTTCACCCCGCTGCTGCCGCCTCAGCCGCCCGGAAGTGCCCTTGAACGACTTCCGGAACCCGCGCAATGAACAACCGGAAACCACAATCCGGAAGTCGCAATCCGGAAACCGGAAACCGCAAGCCGAAAGCCGCAAACCGAAAGCCGCAATCTGGAAATAGCGCCCTTCTCCCTGCCCCCCCCCCTCCGGAAGTACCGCCTCCCCTCCAATAGGAGTGGGTTTATTGGGTAGCCACGCCCCCCACGCTGCTCGATAACCAATGGAAAGCCGCCTTCGGGGTGAGGCCCCGCCCCGCCCCTGGGAATTCCTCCCTCCCTGAATGACGTCATCGCTGCCCTTATATGGAGAGGCGGCGGCGCTCAGCGTTCAGTTGCGCAGCAGCGATGGGACAAAGAGCAACAATGGAGATGGATGCGGAGCGAGCAGTGCGAGCCTTAGGTGAGGGCTGGGGGTCCCGGAGGATGAGGGGGGGGGGGTCTTTAGACTCAGGAAGGTCCCAGACGTTGAAAGGGGTATAAAGAATTGGGGGGGATCCCCAAAAAATTGGGGGATCCCCCAAAATATAGGGGGTC